GAGGTAAGATGCTCCATCCTTCTCCTGGGTATCAAAATAAAAGGCAGCGGTTGAAAAGGGAGGCAGCAACCCAGTATGGCAGATGGAGGGGACCTGTGCCCCACACAAACAGGGAACACTAAGCTTAACCACAAAGGTCTCACAACAAGCTGCGCAGTTACTGTGTCATGGCAGCAGTACATAAAACTGCCTTTGCTGCTCCTTATCCATTTCCACCGAGTGGGCTTGGTTTCCAGACTCCATTAATCATTCTGTTTTGCAAACCTTTAACCTTTACATATTAAAACACACACACATGCATGCGTGCGTGCACACAAACACACGCACACAACTGAAACGTGCTGGAGTTGGGAATGTGTGACAGATTTGTTTGCCTTGAGGAAGCACCTAATTCAGATGCCTTTCAAGGGACAACAGCTCTTGATTTATATAATTACACAGATTCCCCAGGAGAGCGACAATCTAGCACTTCAAGGAAGGGGCCTGGGAGACAGGAGATGTGGACTGCTTTTCCTTCTCTCTCACTGATTCACAGAGGCAGCCTGAAAAAGTCACTTGTTCTTGTAATGCCTCAGTTTACTGTTGGCACCACTGTGACATCACTGTGAACTGCTACATAGTTCATAGTAATTACAAAAGAGGCATTATGAAGTTAGTCATCTCAGGGGGTGAAGCTTATAAACTGCTGTCAGCCTCTGATTATAACAGTAGTGCTCTTGTGCTGGGCACCATCTAGCTACACTGCACCCACCCTGAGCAGCCTGTGAAATAAGACACACACATAGGAAAGTGCACAAAGAGATGCAGTTTGTCCATGTCAGCGTGGCAAACCACTGGCAGACAAAAGAATGGAGCTGCTGCTTCTATGATTTGACTAGTTACCCTGCTTTTGAAATGCAAAGGGTTACTCCCTCACTACTCCAGATGAGTGGCTTGCACAGTACTAATGCTTCAGTTTTAGTGAACTGTTCTGTGATCTACTTCTGCTGCTCTTAGGCCTATTCCAGCCCCATGGAGGTAGATTGACCCCTAGTCCCACAATTCAGGAGACCAATCTGATTCTGATCAAGGTCGTGCAAACAGCTGGGTCTGCACAACTGAGAGCTGGCGCTGGGCTCAGAGGAGAGTGGCTAGCACTGTCACCAAAGTACCATCTAATCAAAGCATGGCCTGTTGGGGCCCATGTCAGATGCCCTGGCATTGCTCAGAACAAAGCCAGAGCATATAAATGACTCAGTGCAGAGATGTCATCCCTACCTTAATGGGATCACTACCACACAGAGAAGGGAATTCTGCAACAGTGAAGTGCCACATTAGCAGACTCAGCATGGGCCATTAGCCACCTTTCTCCACTGTTCACTACATGCCCCTTCTCAGCCTAAATGTTTAATCTATCAGAAGGCACAAAAGGGACACGCAACCTAAAGTTTCTCAGTTTGAACTACCTAAGAGTAGTACATAACTTCAGTTGTGCTTGCATGTATGCTCTGTAAAGAGCTGCAGGCTTTTAGGTCTTTATTGTTCTAAACAAAAGCTTTCTGGTGGTGGTGTGCCTCATTATACATTGGGAAACACCAGCTGTTGGAGAAGAAGAAACTCTGAGCAAATCACAAATCATCTCTAGGTCTTACTTTTCCATCAGTAAACTCCTCCATTTGGAGGAGTGCTGTAGGGCTTAGTTTGTTATCCAATGGAGAGATGGTTGCACAGTATCACCTTTGCTTCACAAGTTATGGTGATCAGCTGAGCTGCAGCAACTACACAAGCTCCTAACCTGGTTAAAGTGCTTTTGTGTTTGACCTTCCTGGCATCAGCATGTTTTTCAGAGTGGAAAGAATGGGGAGATATTTCAGTTATATACTGTAATTTTATATAGTATATTGCAAGAACTTTATTAAGCATTTGGTTTTGGGGAGGATGGGGCAATGAAGCTATGAGACAAGAAAACTCAGTGAAGCAGAAAACCAAGGGTCCTCACATGGCTGCATGGCCTCCATCTGCTAAACAGAGGCATGCAGTGAGGTCTGGAGTGCAGTTTCTTAGGTGGGAACTAGGAGGGAACCACACCACAAGGCTGGGCACAAAACTGGCGGCAGGGAGGAAAGATTACTAAAAAGGTGGCAGTTTGGCAGTGTTATAATAATCACTTGAACTTTGTTTCAGAAACTTGATGCTTGAGGGATCTGCACCCCCTCTGTCCCCTATTCCCAGAAGTCTGTCTCCGGACACTGTCGTCAATCTGAGAGTTCATTTCCTGGTTAAACAAACAGTAATTAAATAACACAAGACAGGCAACGCCTAGAGACACTGTCTCAAACTCGCCCTAGACAGGCCATGTGACACTGGGGTCCCTGTGTTTTGTCTCTTGGCTAAGACATATTAATCATAAGAGGAATTACAGAGTGTGACAATGTGTGTATGCAAAGGCAAAGTGGGCCTGGCCTGCTGGGGAAATGCACTCTCCTTCTTGGCACTGCAGAGCCAGGCTTGTCCACAGAGGACGTGTTGGGCAGCCAGCACTGGGCCAGATAACTCAGAAACACACCTCCTTTCATTTGCTCTGCTATGCCTGTGTAGAGAAAATGAGAGAGAATAGAAAACTCAGTGCCTCTAGTGTGTTCCTATAGCAGTTGGGACAACCAGGAGAGTCACATCATGACCTTCAAGAGGTGTTCACAAAGTGGAACCAGGGGGAAAGGGGTAATCAAATATTTGCTCCCAGCAGGAAAGTAAAACTAAGGAAAAAATGTAAGATCTTTCTAGTGCACTCTATTAACTGTAGTGTAGTTCTCCAAAACTAAGTGGGTCAAAGCATGCTCTTTGGCACCCATCAGCTAAAAGGAACAAAGCACTAGGGGACATACCCTCAGACTCCTGGTGCTAAAGCAGAGATGGATTAGACATCTGAGACTGATGAATAATTCACTATATTTCCTTTGGCTCTTGCAATCTTCGGTTGCCTCCCAGTAAAAGTACACAGAAATAAACTAAAGATGAAAAATACATCACTGTGACACTGTTCATTTTCTATACATGAAGCCTCATTCATTTAACCCATCATCATCAGGGTTCAAGGACTTTTTCGCTCACATTCACTATTGATCAGATCGCAATTCTCCTTGGAGTCTGTCACCCCCAGGGTGAAAACTCACGGAGTAGCAAGGGATCTTTAGTCTCTACTTAGAAACAGAAGCCTTTCCTTTGCTTATGTGCGCAGTCAATACTGATATCTATTTGCAACATGCTTTGACTGGCCTTTGGTTCCTCTGAAACAGGCAGCGGTGAATTCACTTGTTGATACTTGAATTCCTTGCTTTTGTAATGAATATCTAAAGTTATTAAAACCAGAGGAATCTTAAAAATGTAACTTCTGTTCCGTCACATATTCCTCTCTTAATTTACAGATGTTGGGCAGTGAAATTGCTTAGATTATGTTTCAGTTGACCTTGCTACTGGGTTTTTTACACTCCAAGTATCCACATGACTGAATTTCAGCTTCCAGCACTTCAGGGAATGTTTCATTCTTTCCTACACTGTTTGCAGCTCACTGCAGGCAGAATGAACCAGAAACTTTGAGAGGGAAAGAAAATCCTGAAATCCAGAAGTTGATCCCTCTATAGATACAAAAGGTGGCAGATGGTTAACCGTGATGATGGAATGGGACATTGAGCAACTCAGATACTTCTCTTGCGTGCCAGAACACCTGCATCCCAAGGGAATGCTAATGAGGAGGAGGGACAGAGAGTAAAAAGTCTATAATGCATTTAGCTTGAACTGGCTTAGACATTTTTTACTGCTCAGATCTGCTATGTAAATTCCAATTGTGTATCTGATCTATCAAGTGTGATTTGGGAAGTCAGCATTTGTGGGAACCTGAATTTGGATTTGGGGTCCTATCAATACTTTTAATGAGGCGTCCCAATTCAGCTTTGTGTTCCCTGACCCCTAGCAGCCACCTCATGCAGAATTTGTGGAGGAAATACAGCACAAACTTCCCACCTGACTGTTATACCAAGGGATTGCATCGTATCTGTAAGTCCCAGTCTCTCCTGAGTAGGCTTTCAGAAGCAGGATCTGTAAGCAATGGGTTTCCAGCATACCTGGTCTGGCAAACAATGTCATGAAGCCTGGCTGCTGAACTCATCTCCCCTGAGTCCACTTTAGGTCACCGAGGGCAGATTTTCTTTACTACTACTAGACTACTGTTTTAGTTCCCTACTTCACCACTGCTAAATAAGCCAAAGTTTTCCCATTAGATTCCTTTCAGTAAATCTTTCCATGCTTGGTTATTTCTTACCATAAGGATGAGTCATGAAATAGGAGCAAAATACCCTAATTAGTCACTTCCACCTCAGAGCCATATACTTCACTGCTTTCACAGTTTTCTGTGTCTTCTGAGATGCCTACCAGTTAAGTAGATGCCACTGAGATTTCAAACAATATTGTCTGCTAGAGTAGTGAACTGTTTGCTTTCTGGAGATATTTATGGCCATTTAGCTTAGACATTTTGTTTATCATGCAATAAAGCCCTTTTTGCCCCATTTGCTTCCACAGGTCTCACAGCAGTCAGAACCGTTTGGAAAATTACCATTTGGATCAAGAACTCCCTTTTCCATGTAATTAAGAGTATCAAACATATGGTATGAGTCTCAACAGCCATGAAGCTAGCCTATTCAAAGCTAAGCACTTTCTGCTTCTCTGACAAATTTTGGACCTGTAAAAATCAACAGAAAAATTTCTCTCCTTCAATAAGAACAAGTTATTCAAACTTGACATCTGCCTTAGCAGCTATTATATTGTACTATATTACTAGTATTTGAATTGTGGAAACGCCCTGTCATGGAAAGGACTCCAGGATGCCAGACACTGAAAAACAAAGAATAAAAGCCTGGTCACTATTTTTACTGAAGGAATATGTCAGTTCAAAGTGCTCTCTAACACTGCTTTACTTCTTGGAATGAGACATGTCTTAATTGTCTCTATTTTTTTGCTGTTGACAGAAAGAAGGCCAGTCCAGAGCTTACCTCATTGCCCAGGAGCTGATGTCTTCAGAAAAAGTGTGAGTTCATTGTTACAACCTATCTATTATTCTCCTAAAAGTGAAGCCATGCATTCCACCCTTCAGTACTGGTTTGACAGCAATTAATAAAAGTTTATCTCTTTCCCCAGATATGTGGAGATGCTCCAGCTGTTACATATGGTAAGTAAATAATTTTAATCACTGAAACCTAATTGCCCTTTTACTTAGCTGCAATTTAGAAGACATAAAACCATTGAAGGGACTGAGGTGAATTTGAGGAGGAATGACTTACTGTGAACCATTGCAAAGGAATATGTCTGCCACTAATCTGCTCTTGGTACAGATCCTCAAATCTAGCATTTGTCATTCATGGGGAAAAGTGTTGACCATCAGTGCTTGCTGGAGCTCTGAGACTGGTGTAAGATGCAGAATAAGCCTCATACAGAGAAGGAAATGGTGATAAACAGGGGTGAACCTGCTTTCTTCTGAGAGAAACAGATAGGAACCGAGCTATGAAGCGTGGGCATTTGGTTTGAATGGATTCACTCTGCTTCCTTTTAAGCATTTTTCTGATAATGCAATATCAGTAATATCCAGCATGGCCTGGATATCCACACCGTGACACCGGTGGTTACCATGGGCAAAATACAGAATCTGGTCTCAGAAACTCATGGGGGAACACACACAAAGAATCACTTGTAGTGCCTGATAGAGAGCTCTTGCATGGTATAACCCCACTGGTGGCTTTGTCCCAGAAGACTTTGTGTCTCTTTAGCAGAGCTGCCACTGCTTCCCTGGAGACTGCTGCACAGACTAGGTAGCCTCACTCTCAGCATCTTTCTTGGCTGTTAGTTGCAAGGCAGTAGGTAATTAATAGCCACCACACAAAGAATGCCTACTGCTGCTTGGAAAGAAATTCCCCGAGAAGGCAAAAAGTAGCCCCAGGTTGTCCTTGGAGGACACCCCAACCACCCACAGTGGATAGGAACTCTGATGGAGAAAAAGGTAATGAGGTCAGCATTGTATTGCTGCTTCCTCATTGTGCCTCTCAAGGAAGCAGCCAAAGCTGAAGAGCCTTCTCAGGCTTGGGCAGCACAGGCAGGAGAGCAGCCTTAAATGTGACAAACACTTTGCAGACGATTGCATTCCAACAAATCAGAAACCGCCAAGCTGGTCAGCTGGGAACTAAACACTTCAAGGGACTTAGCTGCTTAGCTGGAGTCTACCGGTATTTTGATAAATTAGTGATAACCAGCCTAGCCATTTGTCTTATCTATCCTGGCTTTCCTCTGATTTCTGCACAGCCAAACACATTATTTGACACTAGTGAGACATAGTTGTAGTTATCCATTGTCCCCTGGGGAAGCCAGGGTGGTTTTTTCACCTGTGGACTATGGGGCTTCTGATCATTAAGAACACCCACAGAATTCCTCACGGAAATTAAGATTTCCAAAAATGTCATCAAGAAAAAAAAGAGATAAGAGCCTCTGCCAGCTTCCTAATCAAAATAGAAGAGAAATACACACACAGGAGATTACCATGCACAGAGAGAATTAGCCACTCTGCATCTTCATTAGATGCATCCAATCAAAACATTCTTACTGTATTTAATTTTCCATTTCCAAGTACATTTGTACTTTGGTAGATTATGGACAGCATGTAAATGCAGGGCTGAACTACGGTGTGTACACAGTGCACTGTATTTAGTGGAGGTGTCTAGGAGAGGCCTCTCCTTTGCATTATATCCTAGCATTTTCCATATATCTCTAGAAGATAAAAGTGGCTCACAAACATGGCCTGAAAAAAATCTTCAATATATAGATCAAAATCTTGCAATGCACTTCAGTGCCTTTAGCCACAGCATGAATGGCTGCACACCCTCATGGCTGCTATAACATCATGTTAGTGTCAGGCTGCCTTGCCTATGCTGTTGCTGGGCCAGGAAACGCATGATTCAGGACTTTCCCAGTCCCTTCAGGACTGACTTTGTCCTTTTCTCCTTCCTCTGGAATATCTGTGTGTGGTGAATTTGGCTCTGAGGCTATGTGCATAAATGAGTAATTTATGCATTTTCACAATAATCCTATTTTCTGCCTGTAGAAATCATTTGGAAGGAACAAGAAATGTCATTTTTGCTCTCTTTTCCAAGTTGACAACTTTAACATGGGACAGGGATTCTGGTGTATATCTTTGCAAAAATTTTTTAGTTTAGAAACACTTATGAACACAAGTGCATCCTTCTCCCTTCCAGCTGGAAGGACTACAAACTGTTGGTAATCCCTAATAAAAAGAATCTTCATAAAAATTACAGCTCATAGGTTAGTTAGGGAAAAACTCTGTTGGGTTGCTAATTTTATCTGCTGCAGTGCTCCAGAGTTGGCTCAAAGATACAAGAGAATAAAACCAAGAGAGTTTTCCTGTCTTGACTCAAAAGTGTAACTACTCCCTGCTTTCCTGTTGGGGAACTCAGACACTTTCTACACAGAAATGTTTATTACAGAAAATAAGTAACATTATATGGAGCTTGGCTTACAAGTCCTGGAATAAAGTTTTTAAGGCATGAGGGAAATTGGCTCTGTTTTAATCATACTTAATCATTAGGTTTGGATCAGCTGGTTAATTTATCAGCGAAAAGATACTGGTAATAGCACTCCTATGACTGGGCAAGTTCTTCTGTTTCTGTCAGTCATCAGTTTTAACTGGAAGCACTTGTTTGGTTGTTATATATGTTTCAGTCCTGTAACGGAATATTCCACTGAATCCTATTTTGCCGGGATTTTGTTTCCCTGCCTGCACATCCCACTGGAGTAGAGGGATCTTATAAGTGTTTTGCATATGTTCATTATTTCCTTAATTATGAAAGTTAGAACACCAAAAGAGGAGTTAGAATTTCAAATTAAAATAAGAGATGGGCCTAAAGTAAACCCTTAAATGAATGTATTGGTTTGTGAAGTTAAGCCACTTACAGGTTGTGAAATGTCAGAATCACTGTAACCATGTGCTCTTCACTTTCCCTGTCCCAGTTCCCATTGTCTCAAGTTACAAAGTTCAGAAAGTTCTGCATCAATTTTAGGATAAGATTTTGAGTGCACAATTTTGATTAATGATTTTCTTCTGCATTGGAAAAGTATCCTTGCCCCATCACCAAATGCATACACTCCTTTAGGAGCTACTGGACGTTTTTTTCAGCAGAGTCAACAAGCAAGTTTCTCAAATGAGATTTAATTGTTTCTATGAGTTGGCTTTCTAAGTAGTGAGGGTGTACATATGAATGGCATCTGGGTTAGAGACTGAGGGAGAAGAGAGGAACAGCCAGTCTGTTTTCACACTTGACTGCTAGTTCAGGCATTCCTTAGTTTAGAAGAGATCCACGATCTTTATGGGAACAGGATCAGAGGTCTCATTTCTGTGTTTTATTGGGTGCCTAAAGCCCTAGCATACCCCAACTCTACTGCTATAGGCTGCTGTCTGCACAATAGCCACACACTGCAGTGGCATTCAGAGTAAACTGCAGGTTTCTCTGTTACAGTCATGTTCAATCTAGAAAGCCACAGTCCCAGCACTGTTACCTTCCCCACCCCAACTACTGTTAGATCTTTATATTCACCTGTTACCCAGTGTATTATTCCAGAAATCTAGAGAAACCTTTACCAATTTTAGTATATGTAAGTCCCTCAGACTACAGGGGTATTATTGCCTAACTGAGGCTTTTCAATACTGTCATAGTGCAAAAAGTTACAATGAACTAATTACTCCTTTTTGCCTATTTGAATAGAGTTAGCAATAGTCACACCAGCAAAAAATTGTGCTTCGCTGTGCACTCGCTGTTGACAAAGGTCCCACTGGCAGATGCCAGAAGCAACCACCAGTGACCACAGAGTCACCAAACTGCCCTCAAGGTACAACACCCCATTCACAGCCAGTGAGGACCCAAGGCTTTCTCAACAGCATATCTCAGCTCAGGCAAACATTTCTCTCCGTTTCCCATCACCAACTTTCTCAAGAAAACAGTTTCTAAATGCTCATCTTCAAGTCTCAAGTCTCATCTTCTTATATAAACCCACACGTTGGTAAGAAAGGCAAGGAACTAAACCACACCCCAGAAAGGAAAAAAAGGCTTTTCTTAAGCCCACAGCAGGAGCAGTTTCCCATCTCATTTCCAGTCTTGGCTGGAGCTGCTGTTCATTCAGCATAACAGAATCTGTTTGGCCTTTCCGCGGAGACTTTAATAAATTGATTGATTGCCAAAATGATGACATTTCCATACACCCACTCTACTATTGAACTGAAAGAGCGGAAACGTTGTGTTAGCTCACAAACTTGGTATCAGTTGGTGTGGTAGTAGTGATAATAATCTAAAGGGTTAGCTGTAATTTGCCCTACTCAGAGGTAATGCAGTTCTCTGGAGCAGGGAGTTAAGAACTCATTCTAGACTGAGCAGATGGGACTGGCAGGGCGTTGCTGTCCAAGTCTCTGATCTCTTGGTGCTCACAATTTAGTTTTCCAAACTTGATGAGTCTTTGTATTTCTTTCAGGATCATTTAATCCTCAAACTTTTTCATTCTTTTTCCTATTTTTCTTCCCCAGTAATGCAGGCTGCACTTGTCATCTTTTTCTTACTGCTGGCTCCTGAATGAAAATGCTGCAGGTTGCTTTCTCAGCCACATCTTTCACACATCACCTTTGAGGACCAGGCATCTGGTTTATTTGCTTTCCTTCAGCCAGTCTGTTTCAAATGACTTTACTAGATGCACACAAATCAAACTTACTGTGACTCAGATTGCCTCAGGATCCCAGCCTGTATGGGATCAAGCATTTGCTTGATAGTATACCATGTTCACGTTTATTTTGTCTTTGACGTTTGTACATAAAATTACCTTTTTTGTGCATAAAGCCTTTGAAGTCATTATAACTTCTCTCTAAGGCATTTGTTGAATTAAGATACCTAAAAGGACAGCTCTGCACTGAAAAAACACCAGCCTCAACACCTCCCTGTTTGAAGAAAGTTGATCCTGTTTCCTGGTTTGCATTTTCCTCATAAAAATGGGCCACAGTTCTTAGAAACACCAAGACCCAGATTTATGCTTCCTCAGCATTTGAAGATATGGATATGAATATGATATGAATAGATAAAACATGTGATGGTTGTCCAGCCTTTGGAGCAGTTTGGGATCGAACCC